GTCAGTTGCTCACATGCACACACACACATACACACACATACACACACACACACACACACACACACACACACACACACAAACTGCAGTCCCTCCTCCTGCACCTGTCTGGTGCCAGCGCTGGGAAAAGCCGTCGTCATAAATTCCTGGGCTTTGTTAAGAGGTGTCAGTGGCCGGGTGTCTGAGGAGGGCAGCAGGGTCAGGGAGGGCATGTGTGTGTTTCTCTTTATGCGTGCATATTTACGTGCACTCTCTCTTTGTGTTACAGTAATATGGTGAGTGCATGTGCGTGTTAAAGTGTTGGGGGGTGGACACAGTTAACCGGCTCAGGTGTCACCCAGAGGAATGCAGACCTTTTGGCCTCTGACCCCAGAACATGGCCCTGGAGGGTTGAGTGTCAAACCATCGCCCCTGAACCTCAGCTAGTGAGGTGTCACGTTACTCTGCTGGCTGCTGCCACAAGGCCAAAGGCTACAGAGGACACAGCTTTCATGTGTGCGTGTGTGTGTGAAGCCACAGTCATTAACAATGCAACAGTCATTAACTTTGTCTGAGGCAGATCTGCCTTACAGGCCTCATGCACGTTGCCCCGGTTCATGTTGATTATCAAATAAGTGGAACGACAGCAGGACACAGATAGAAATGATTTTGATTTTCACTGTTGGTCTGTTTGATTACAGTCATCATCACAATATTATACGTATTCACGTTTACTTTACATTGTTCAGCTATTCATGATATAATCTAGAAATGCTGACCTTAAATCTTTAGACTGCATTTTATTTAAGCCAAGTTTTTATCTGACACTGATGTGCGTAGCAGCATTTATTGTTAAATGAGCCAAAAAAGCTGAAACATATACTGTATATGTTTCTCCAACTAAGATATGAGTAGAAATTAGGCATCAAAGTTGTACAATGAGAAAAAAAAAAGCTATTTAAGTCGTACAAATTTCAAATTTATGTTTTGATTATAATTTGCGGTGAGCTATACATTCGGACAAATAGTTAATAATTGAGCAGCAAATAGTCTAGTAATCTATTAGCTGCCGACTATTGAACTAATTGCAACCTGTTTTGATAATCAATCTGTTAAAGTAATTTTTAAAGAAAAAATATAATATAAAAATATTCTCTGATTCCAGCTTCTTAAATCTGAACATTTTCTGTTTTCTTTAATTGTCTTTGTCAGCAAAACTGAATATCCCAAACAACTAATCGAGCAATTGAGATAATAGTCAACAAATCAATCAAGAGTGAAAATAAACTTTAGTTGCAGCTGTGAACATGATGCAAGTCGACTAACCTGATAAAGAATGGCGTATTATTACCAGGCTCTAACATGTAGTTTTTCACATGGATGAATTATTGCCAGTTTTGTAGTCTGTAGATAAATATGGTCTCTACTGACAACATCCTCTATGGTTACTTACAGTTTCTCTAAATGTGACATATGTGTCCCAAATTAATTCCCCAGGATCCTTATTTTCATTCTGATTAGTATTCTAATGTAGTGCTCAGTGTAACATGTAGATAAATTCAGATTATAGAAGAACTCACGCTGATTAGCTGTGTTTCATGTAAAAGGAATTTCACTCCTGAAAACCTTGTTTCAGCTCTGACCAGAGGACTCTGTGTACCCGACCCCTCCCCAGATGTTGTTTGGTGAAGTTGCACCTCCAGTGCCCTCCACCCATTTTCTCCCTCCTTAGAGCGCCTCTGTGTCTATTATTGGCAGGAAGCCGTGACAGGGAAGGCTACTCAGCCAAACTAAAAGGAGGCTAAACATGGTTTGATGAGGAATGTGAGAGAACAGCCGTGTTCATTTGTACATTCACCAGTCGACCATCCAGACCTCTGAGTGCCTGGACAAGGGGCGCCTTTGTCCCTCATCTGCCGGCTACACCCTGCCCTGCTCCTGCCCCCCATCTTACCCTTCTCTCCATCCTGTTGCACCTCCTCTGCCTCCCTCTTTTCAGTGGCGGGCCCTCAACCCAGAATAGCACAGCAGGTCCCCTCTGAAAATAGAGCTGGTGATGTTGGCAGGGTCAGGCTCTCTCTCTCTCTTCTGTCCACTTTGTATCACTCTCTCTCTCTGTTTTTCTCCCTCATACAGAATCACTTTTTGTTTCGGAGGCTTATTCAGGGAAAGAACTGGCCAATAAAAACAATAAATACATTTGCAGTTGAAGCAAGAAATCCAAAATCAATAAAAGTTTATGCCATGAATGTATTAAACATGTGAATAGCTCAGCAGTCTCAAGTGTCTTGTTTAATATCTAGGCCAGATCTAAAAACACTCATCAAAAGGCCCTCAAATAGTAAATTCTTCCTACTGAGTCATGTGTTCCAGTTTTAATCTTCCATGAAACATGCAGCGGGGTATCCCCTCTACAGTATATATATAAAAAAATCAGGGTAGGCATGCAGGAACTCTTGTTAAAAGAGTGCTGAATGCAGAAAATAGCTGTTTTAGTGAGGCTCAGGCTTCCCAGTGGGCAAGTAGCAGGCCCATAATTTGACAAATTCCACTTTAATCGCTCAAATCGTAGTTGGCTCTGTGTCAGGTCCTTTTCTTTCCTTGCCAGATGGATTTTTTTAAAATATAGTAGATGACAGAGAGGGCAGTATCCAGGTCAGTGATTGGGCTCTGAAAACATTTAGTCATCAATCTAGACCTACATTAGTTTTCAAGCCAGAGGTATACGTACTAAAATCCAAAAGTACAAAACACCTTGCTGTTGGTACGAGACACTGTGTCCAAGTGATACTGTGCAAGATGCATTTCTAAATTATCTGTTGTGATTATGACAGTAACAGTCAGGATATTCTGAGGGAAACAAAAGAAACTGTTCAGGCACATTAGCAAAGTGATATGCAATCTTTACACATTGGAAACATTTTAAGCACTTGTTGACTGGCCCTTACCCTATTCAGGACTTTTATGTTGCCATATGTAGAAGGTCTTTCGGGGTCCATTGGACCCCAAGAATGAACGTGTAAAATGTTGGTTGGTATTTATTATAGACTTTTGTATTTTGTATGTTAAATACATTTTCTGATAAGTTGATGTATTTTAGTTCCAAATGCATGACTTATGTCCCTGTTTTTATATTTTAAAAAATAAATCTTCAAAAATAAAATAACAAAACCTGTCAACTAAACCAAATGGCCTGGGGTCCAAAAGACCCCAAGAGTCCTGAAAAGGGTTAAAGTTGCTATAATAAATAAAGTTTATAAAAAATATTTTTTTAAGAATAATGGATCAAATTACGAGCTGCAGGGTGATGCAGTTGGTAGCACTGTTGTCTCGCAGCAATAAGGTTGCCGGTTCGCGTCCCGGTGGGGGCACCGGAATCTTTCTGCGTGGAGTTTGCATGTTCTCCCCGTGCAGCGTGGGTTCTCTCCGGGTTCTCCAGCTTCCTCCCACACAGTCCAAAAACATGTTGAGGTTAATTGGTGATTCTAAATTGTCCGTAGGTGTGAATGTGAGTGTGCTGGGTTGTCTGTCTCTAAGTGTAGCCCTGTGATAGACTGGGTCCCCTGCCTTCACCCTAAGTCAGCTGGGACAGGCTCCAGCCCCCCGCGACCCTAGTGAGGATGAAGCGGTTTATAGATAATGGATGGATTAAATTACTATGCGTATTTGGAATCAGCAGTGAAAATGTAAAACTCCTTTTTAAGTGTTTGTTTTTTTGAATTTTTATTTTTTTTTTTTAAATAATGGAGAATAAAGTTAAAAAAAAAAAAAAAGATAATTGGAATAAAAGTTGAATATCTGATCTGGATATCTCTCTCAGACTGAGTGCACAGAGCAGCTTATGCTCTGTTAACAACTAGCTAGTGATCATAATGGAGCATTCAGCAACTGAAGACCAATTAATTCCTTGGAGGAGACCAAAGCAGAGCTAGAAGGAGAGCAAATATTTGTCTAGATTTCCCAGATGGCCATAACAAATAGACATACTTCTAATTTGGCAGCTGCACATTAGCTTTAACATTTGTATCGAGAGATAATGTGTCACTATTGGGTTGCCCTTCTGCCAAAGTGGCCAAAAACTATTCTCCTGTTGGGATCATCTGTTGAAAATGACATGGATACAACCCGTTATGGTGAAAACCACAGTTTCAGTTCTCTAGACTAAACAATGGCTGTCACTCCTGCATTGAACCATAGACGCTGAAATTTCACGTTCATGTAGACGTCTAGTTAGAGAGAGCTGCCTACAAGGTCCACTCCAAATGGATATTTCTCAGCTTGAATAATGACTGAGTAACTTTAGCTCAGCCCTGAGGCAGCTGCTGTCTCTAGACAGACATTTTTCTGCGTATAGATCCCTGTTTTTGCAGGAGCTGCTGCTAATGAGGTTCCACTATAATTTCCTTGGACTTTGATTGAATTAACTTCACTTTAAAGAGCAAAGAGGACTTATTAAAACTTTGCAGTTTTTCATATAAAACCCATTTCTTTAACCTTTTTCTCATAAAGTGTTAATTAACTTAAAGACTGTCTAGGTTTACATATATAGACTGTAACAGTATTATATAGTGCTGAAGTGTTTATACGAAGCGTTGCCTGCTGAATGTATCTCAGTCACTGGATTACGGGGTTTCTTGTAAACCTAATCACTTGATGATGTGCCATGGAGGTGTAGCACTTTACTGAGACTGTAAATTATGGCTCATGCACACTTAGCGTTTGGTTTTAATCTTCTTTTTCCCGTCTGTCCTCTCTGGACATCTGAGCAGTTACTTGTAATCACAGGAGTAAGGCGGATTGTTGAGTGAAACCAATGATTACAGTGACTTTAAGAACTTGTGACTGGTGGTACCCATTTGTTCCTACAAAAAATTGCTTTCTAAACATTTTTCCTGCCAAAGATTTTGGAAAGAAAAATATTTAAACATTTCTACCAAGTGTCAGCTACAGAAAAATCAAAATCCAAAATGCATCAGATACCCCTTTTAATCAGGTTTTCTCTGTCCTTGTTATTTTCTCTGCAGATGTTCTTGACCTGCCCAATGCCGTTGGCTTCTCACCTCCCTCCAGCCCAAACCCGGCCAAGAAGAGCAGCTCTATCAACTGGTCCTTCCCAGACAAGATAAAGTCCCCGCGTACCGTCAGGAAGATCTCCATGAAGATGAAGAAGCTCCCAGAGCTCAGCCGGAAACTCAGCGTCAAGGGGACCCAGAGCAGCAGTAACAGCAGCAATGGAGGCGGTCAGTTAGAGCCCAGGGCCCATTCCCCCCGAAACAACAGCAGTGGATCCGAAGCTGTCCCCCAGACTTCAGGCCCTCCTCGATTAGCTGCGTCTGGAGGCGGGCAGGCGAGCCGTAATGTGATCTCACGCTACCACCTGGACAGCAGCGTGTCCACACAGCACAGCTTTAGTAAGAAGAAAAGTAACGGCAGCTCAAAGTCTGCCAGTAAAGGTGGCTACCTCAGTGACGGTGACTCACCAGAGCTGGTGGCCAAATCTGGCAAACATGGCTCGGCAGAGGGGAAGGCAGGGAAAGGCAAAGAGACAGAGGGAGGAAGTGGAAGCTCCAGACTCAATGGCACAGAGCTGGACATAGACGCTTTCCGCCATTACAGCTTCACAGAGCAGCCCAAGTGCAGCCAGTACATCTCTGGACTGATGAGCTTGCATTTTTATGGTGCTGAGGACCTCAAACCTCCACGCATTGACTCTCGAGACGTCTATTGTGCCATCCAGGTGGACTCGGTTAACAAAGCGCGAACCGCTCTGCTCACCTGTCGAACGACCTTCCTAGACATGGACCACACCTTCAACATCGAGCTGGAGAACGCCCAGCACCTGAAGCTGGTGGTGTTCAGCTGGGAGCCCACGCCGAGACGCAACCGCGTCTGCTGCCATGGCACGGTGGTGCTGCCCGCGCTCTTCAGGGTGACCCGCTCCCACCAGCTGGCGGTAAAGCTGGAGCCACGAGGGCTGATCTACGTGAAGCTGAGCCTGATGGAGCAGTGGCAGAACTCGCTGGACGGCGGGCCAGAGGGGGACAGGGAGCCGCAGGTGTTCGGCGTGGAGGCGTGGCGGGTGGTGGAGAGGGAGAACTCAGGACTGATGGTGCCGCTGCTTATAAGCAAGTGCATCAATGAGATTGAGAAGAGAGGCTGCCAGGTGAGTGTGCATGACATTCAATAAGTCTGGCTTTGACGATGGTGGCTGTGGCAGTGTAATGTTTGTGTTTTGGTTGGTTGTGATTAGTGCTGCAGCTTTTATTCCCCTTTAGTCTGTGTGATGCACATTTGTTTTGTGATAATTATTTGAAGGATTCACAATTTCCACCCTTCCATCTGTTAGCTATAGCTTTTTTTTTTTATCCTGTAGAGAGCCAAATATACACAGAAAGGTCATAGCCGACAAAATAATCTGTTTTTTTAATTAAAAAATGATTCAGTTTATAATGATGGAAAATGGAAAAGCAGCAAACCCTCATGCTAAATCGTTTCCCAATTAATTAATCTTTTTTTTAATGAATAACACAGCCCAGACCACAACATAATCCAAAGACTGAATTTGAAAGGAAAGAAGCAAATTTTCACATTTGCATCCTTAAAATAAAATAAAAATGTTTAAAAATATATATGAAGAATACATGACAGTTATAGATTGAGCTACTGATAATTTCAGATGTGTAAAGTATATTGCATGAAAGTAAACATGGATAAAAGCCAGGCTAATCCTGTTCTGTAAATTGACAGCAGATAGGAATGTAATTGAAAGGAAGGCTGGTAGGATACATTTATATAATGCATTTTTGTGTGAGAGCGTAAGAATAGCAGAAGAAATCATCCAGCATCCTTTTAGCTCCGTATGCTGTGACATGAGTGCTTCCCCTGCAGCCAGTAATAATGCTGACTGACTGGCATGAGCTGAATAGAGAGAAGAGATGTAGCACACTTCATGATGTCACAGAGTTTCTGCCTTCCTGGGGCGATTGGCTCTTTTATTCAGAGAGGAGAAAGACTCCGAGTTAAGAGGCCTGCTGTGGTGGCGGTGATGACGACGGGGGAATGGAGTGTTCTCCTGGATCATGTGGTCTCACACACATTTCATGTGCTCTTTGAAGCACATCAGCCCCGAACAGAGAGACGAGAGAAAGGCAGCAGCGCTTCTCCTAATTAGAACTGAGAAAGCGGCAGTAAAAGTGTCCGACCACTGACTGATCACTGTAGGGGGGCATGCCAGGGGCAGCGGGTGCCCGGGGCCAACAGGCAAACATTAGGTGTCTCCTTAGAGCCTGTCCTTGAAATGAAACCCAACCCGCTTCCACCTGTGCAGGACAAGTAGTAACAGTAATGTAATGTTTGATTTCAAATGTAACAAATGATTTTATTTGTTAATGTTAAGTTAAAAGTTCATAGTTGGTAAAGCAACCAATGAGTGTTTTTAACATCCATTAAAGCTGAAGTAGGCAGTATTTGTTTGATGTCATTTTAGATGCTTTTTGTGGCCTAATGAACACTAGAGTTCTGCACCTCTTATTGGCCCTGTTTTTAGGCTTTAGCAGTCCAATGCAATAATGTTTTTACATGTTTGAAGCACATGCATGTGCCCATATAGTAGGAGGGGCTTAGTATACAACAGCTATAGGGAGACGACTGTATTTTCAAGTTCTGCCTTCTGTTTTATTTTACCACATTTATGCCTTCTGCATTATTTATTAGTTATATTTTCCAAGTTTTGAAAATTTTATTAATGTGTTAATTACCTTTTAATTACTTTAAATCTTTCAGTCCATAAAGTATCAAAAATAGCAACAATTGTCAACATCATGTTCCCAGAGCTCAGTGTGAGCACAAAACTCAAAGGTGTCGCATTTACAAAAACAGAAAATGGAGAACTTAAGCTGGTTCTCAAATTTGAGAGGCTCATCTAGTAAATATCTGGGATTTTTGTTTCGTAAAAGATCAAAATTGTCCCTTTGAGCGTTTTTTCCTCACTACATGATTCTAAATGGTCAGGTTTACCCTGCAATAAGCAAACAGGGTTTTAAATGTCCCGCAAACATTGAATTGTTAAGGTCTGCTCATATTTCCCCTTGAGGATTATTTCAGTTTCATCTGCATTCTTTACCAAATCCAGTTCAAAAGAAGAAAACATATTAGTTGTGGAGTCTTGAGGGAAACACAGTTCACGCTCTTAAAGGAAAACTTGCACATCAAAGTCTGCTTCCTAGTGTTGAGTGCTGATGCATATGTGGAAAAAGCTGAATAGAGTTTTTTGAGGCTCCAGAGGGAACTGCGTGAAATTCAAGAATACAAGTTTGTGAGTGTGAAGCTGGAAAGAAGTGATCTTAGCAGACCTCCTACATTACCTTACCTATCCCACTCCTCATCCCTGCCTGAGGCCAACAGCTCAAGACTGAATTTGCTTCACATGCTAGGAGTGTTAGAGGAGCGCAGCGCTACTTTGGTGGAATATTCTGTTATGCTGTGTTTGTGCAATACATACACGCACAAATATAAGATGTCACATTGCTGCTAAGCTCAGCCCTCTAAGGACCATTCATCTCTGGACAGATTGTCTGGCTGCACTGTGGCCGATCTCACCTGACTGGCCTCTTAACTGTGCAGCTGTAACTCTACTTAGCCACTACTTTTTAATCTGTTAGCTCAGTTTCCCTGTTTTTATGTAGCTCTTTGTCTTGCTGTGCTGTGATTCCTATCTGTTTCTGTCTCTCCCTCCGTCTGTGTTCCACTCAGTCTAACAATGTTTGTCTTCTGTCCCTCACAGCGTTTCGTCTAATCTCTCTACCCCCCCCTCTTCGGTTTTGCTGCTTTTTCATTACAGAGATGCAGAGTAGACTTTGTACATGCTATCAGTCTGAGATCAAGTGTAAGGGCTCCTCCAGGTTGCAGGCAGACAGGGGTTAGGATGGGGTTGACACCAGATCCCAGAGGAATTTGCAGGTTGTGTCACAAAAGCATGCATGGCCAGCAGTGTGCCTTTACAAATGATTGTGTGGATGTTTGATGGAGACTCTCTCTCAGGGTTTTCTTAGAGTTGCGCTTCCTTAGGGCGTCTACAAGCTTTTAAGTCCGTGGGTGATTGTGGGTATTTCAAAAGACAGCAGCTAATTTCTGTGTCAGAGACTGGAGTTATGTATATGAGCTCTCAGGGCCCATTAAAGGAGACATGTTTTAAAAGGAGCTATCCCAGTAACCTACATACATGACATACATGACCGTAAAAGGGGCACATGGGTGTTGGGAACAGTTACACAGATGCACCTTTTAAGACTCTTTTTACACAGAAATAGCATTGTTGGCTTCATCTTTCTTTTAAAGAAGACTTTATGGCTTTCATGCATAGATCTAAATTACATAAATGCTCTGTGATGCCTTTTTAAAAAAAATTTACTGAAGGAAAGTCCTCTTAAATGTGGAGTTCTGGTTCTGTATTGGTGTCTGTTTGTGCGTAGGTTTATGTTCTAGTTGCTTGGAGTCCATGACGAGGACTCCTCTCAGCCTATGTGTTCTGCAGATTACTGGTTTAGCATCGTCACTGCGCTGACTGTCCAAACAGACATACATGGAGGGGTCCATGTGGGCTCTCACTGACGTAGGCAGGTGACAAAATTTACATCACGCAGACTGTAAAGTACAATACTCTCGTACTCGAAGACAATGAAAGTGTTGCTCCGGCCAAACTCTGTCCTTGTAGAATTTTAACCAATTCAAACCAGCCAACAGCATGTCACCCCTTGCTGAATACTGGTTGGTTGACAGGTTGGGTTGCGTTCCTCGAAGGGTCTGCTGGGTACAATGCACATTACATGCATTTATAAGCACTGCTTGTGACTGCTGATGTACCAGGCCTCCCAGCAGTGGTTTTCAGAAAGCCTGCCCGCCGTTTGTATCACTTGGTTCAGGGGCAAAAGCATAAGAACCATCAGCACGATACATAATAGCCTTTATTTCAGGTTGTTCCACATGTTTTTGACACTGACCCCAAGAGACAGCAGACACTACAACAGGTTGACAAGTTTTGCATAGAACAAGCACAGCAGCATGCTTTGACATTGATGGATTTTAAAAACGTATTAACTTATTACACGTAATACGGCATTTCGACTCACTGATCTTAAGTAATTTTTTTATTTTTTATTTTTTTTACAATTTTTTGCTCAACTACTCTGTTCATGTGGACAAATATGGAAAACATTTTGTTAGAATTCATACTAGATGCAGGCAAGTGACACTTCAGTGGAATTGATGGTCTGATATGATTTTCACTCGCTCTCTACCACTCTCCCCACATTCTGCCAGTATGTGGACTGCCCAACTGGAGACGGTGGGCCTTGGACCTGCTGTGTGCGGACACCGGGGATGCATATTGCTTAATTATTGTTATTTTGTTGTGCTTTCTTTCGATGTTTTTTGGATGCTGCTGTTTACAATAATGTCCCAGGTCTGGGATGAATAAAGTCTATTCTATTCTATTCTATTCTATTCTATTCTATTCTATTCTATTCTATTCTATTCTATTTTTCAGCCACATTTATGTACTGAAAGAAATTTATTGTGATTTATTTTTGAGTATAAAAGCCAACAAATCACCTACGTCCATTATTTACGGATGCCTCTTTTGCCTGTATGAAATTGAGCATTTTCATTTCATTTTCTGGCATTTTATAGGTGATAAATGTATTGATTATTTGAGAAAGTATTTAGCAGAGTAATTGATTATAAAAATCGTCATTATGTGCAGAGCTACTTTTGTTTGTGTCATCATGCGCTTGAGTTTAAGCGCATCTTCCCCTAAAGTATGTGTGCATTTGTGAGGAATCCAAGTAAGTCTAATAGTCTCATGAAAGTTAAAAGATAATTACTTCCCAACTTGTTTGACCACTCAAGAGCATTAGTGCAGTCAACTTTTCGTTATTTCTAGTGTTCTTCTTTTGTGTTTCTATAAGTTCTTATAGCTAATCCCAGACCAACATCACATCAACGAGCATCCACTCTCCCGTCGGGGGAACACTTATTGTTCGGGGGGTTATTGCGCCTGCTTTATTCCACATATAGGTCTTGGCTGCTGCTGCCTGTTGTGTTGCCCGGCAGCCACAGTGCATAAGTGCAAGCCCTCTTTTTTTTTGCTAACAGCTGTTCCCCGCCTGCACTCGGCTCTCTCTCAAAGAGGGAGACTCTTTTTTTTTTTCTGAATGGACTTGTTGTTCATTGTGCCCAGTGACTTCTGTTTACTCGCACACAAAGCCAAATCCCTGCCTAATCTGTCCTCCTCTCTCCCTCTCGTGTGAGGTTTAGAAAACGCTGCTCCACTCGAAGACGAGAGCTCACAAATAGTTAGTGCGGTGGGACGGGGAGACATTATAGCGCTCCTACGCTGGAGCCCGGAAAGGCCGGCAGTGTGTGTGCAAGTGTGTGTGTGTTTGTGTGGAACCGGACCCGACCCGCCATTCACAGCCCACTGACTTAACACGTTACCGGGGCAACCACACCAGTTGGTCTGCTATGCCACATACCAGACAGACACATGTAGGAGGAATTATGGTATGTCTGTAGCCGGGCCTAATCCCAACATAACAAGGAGAGCAGTGGTGCCGAGTTTCAACTATCAAATGTCTGGAGTTCCTTTAGGTCACACTCTGGAGGCTTAGGTAAAGAAACATAAATGCTTTATAGCCGAGCGCTTTCATTTTTAATGCTGAGCTGTCACCTGGCTTTTTAGAGGAGCTCAGTGTTTATCCATTCACTCAAAGGGATGTGACACTTTTATCAGACCTCTGACAGCATATCACTTTGTTCACTTTTAAAGGAGCCGGCCAAGTTTTTAATGCGCAGCAGCATTTAAGTAAGTGTGCAGCTTTTAATCATATACTCAAGTCGGTGTTCGTCTTGCAACTTAAACAGCTTGTCTTTGGTTATGGTGCCTAATGGTAGTAAATACTAAAACACTGCAGATAGATATTGCTGTTTAACATTCAGAGTCAGTTTGCCGACTTTGTGACTCTTTTTTACAAGTCTTACCGTTATCTTTACTGTTTAGCGTTTACATTTATTACCACTGGTAGCCGGAGTGGCTCCACAGTGCTCATCATACAGATAATGTGTTGGCTTCATAAGCAGTAAAATCATCCTTTTATCTCTAACCCCGACACTAAGAGGCTAGGTGCAAACTTTATGACACCGCTTTTTGGTGCATACCTTCATTTTGTAAGTGTCAGAAGTTACAGTCCTGCCTTCGTGTAAAAATGATGCAAAAGTCTTCTTACAAATGAAAAGTTAACAGGCAGTAAAACACATCTTTACGCACGTGTGACCAAACAACCTGCTTCCTTTGGTGTGATCAGTAACTTATAGTGGCCAAGGTTAGGTAGATGTTGCTGTTGATATTACAGAATCTGTCTTCTGACTTTTAAAAGTTGAATACAGCGTTAAAATGCAAGTTCAGGTTTTTGCCGATTGAACTTTATTAGTTTAAGTTGGTTATAATTTTATCAAACTTTAGGTAATCTTTGTTTTTTCAAAACATGTTCCTCCTCTATTGACAAAAAATACTTCACGTTTTCAGTGGCTGTTGTTTGCTCTTAATGGTCCTAATACTTTAGCGTTTTACATTTATTTTATTGTAAAAATGTATTCTACAAGCTGTTGTCCTGTTTTATTTTTTAGTTTTTTTCTAATTTTATTTTGTTTTACGTGCAATTTTTTGTGTACGTTTTCATCCTTTTTTTCTGTCTTGCTTTTTTAATACATATTTTTAATGTTGCCTTTCTTATAACATGTACAGCACTTTGGTCAGATTGTTTTAAAACATGCTATATAAATAAATTTTATTTAATTTGATAGATGATTATAGATACTGAATCATTTGGCAGCCTGTGTGACTCAGATCTTAGACATACCTGCCACAGTGGTCTGTTCGGCAAGAAAATGTTTCTCTTTAAACGTTGTTGTAGCCTTTCGTCAGTCAGTCTCAGCTGAGAAGAAGCAGCTGGTGGTCAGTCGAGTCAGTTTTATTTGTCTAGCCCAGGTTTCTCTCAGGGCTTTACAAGGTACACATGGCACCCTCTGTTCTCAAACCCTTAGTTTGGATAAGGAAAATTCCACCAAAAAACCCCCAAAGACTCAAATAGGTGAAGTAAATCCTCATGATTGGCAACATACGAAGGATCCATCTTTAGTATGGACATTCAATAGATGCTTAATATGTAGAAATAACAGTAGCTTGGTTAAAATACGGTTCATCTAGAAAAGTTGAAGTGTGATATAAAAACAAGCACGAAAAGAATGTCAAACATCAGTCATCTCACAGGTGTTTGTTTAAGCTTTTGTGACACTTTAGAGGTAAAAATTCAAATAAAGTTGGTAAATGTCCTTATTCTGTTGTATCAGGCTGAGTATTTTAAATCCCTACTGATTCTGCTGTAAGAATCCAAGCAGCTTCCTGTCTTCCTGTGTCCCATGAAAAAGTGAGTCTTGATGGAGTTATTAGAAATATAGACAATTTTGTCAGCTGTCATTTTGCAGAGATAAAACAGACAAGCGTTTGGAGACATGCGAGTTTTCTGTGAAAGTGCTGTTGGCTGCCGTCCAGCTCACTGTTTGAGTGCAGATGTAAAACTTGATCGATAGGGCTGTAAAAGTGTCTACCTCGCTGTCATCTGATTGACGCTGAAGCCGCGCGTGTTTATTTGACCTACTTGTGTGTCTGTGTGTGTGTTTCCAGGTGGTGGGTTTGTACCGTCTGTGTGGTTCTGCGGCAGTGAAGAAGGAGCTGCGTGAGGCTTTTGAGAGAGACAGCCACGCCGTGGAGCTGTGTGAAAACACCTATCCTGACATCAACGTCATCACAGGTAAAATGATCGCCAGCAACAGAGAACACAAGACACCAACAAAGCTCAGGATCAACACACACACTCATTTTAATCAGGAGGCGCTTGTTTAACCAGATGGCTTTCTCAGACGGGTTGGTGTCCTTTTGGTGTCTGTTTGCCTGCAAAATACCCTCTTACCTGCACTTGACTTGTATATGACATAATACACAGCTAAGTGTACAAAACGTTGAGTACATGCAGGTTTCCTGTGAAGCAGACAGACTGTCCCAGATAAAATCAATGAACCATACACAAGGCTTCTTTCCATTATCATCGTTACCCTCTTGGTTATTCTTCTGGTCCATAATGTAAGAAGCTGGTGAAAAATGCCTGTCACAGTTTTTTTCAGAGCATGAGCTCAGATTTAAAAGTTTTGGGATGTTAGAAAAACATTGCAGCAAGTCCTCACATTTGAAAAGCTGGAACTAAGTGAATTTTGGGCTTTTTTGCTCAAAGAATCCCTTGAATTTCGGAACCGTAAACTCACAAAAAACTTCGAAAAGCATGCTGTCATTTAAGAAATTGCTAAAAACACACTATTTGTCAGAGCCAGAATCTTTACAAACAGCAAGAATAGTTGGACTTTTAGCTGTTGACGGTCATTAAACTAATCAGGTGTGATTCATAGTTCTGTTTGGAGAAGGAACCAAATCTAAGTTCAAAATCAAGATATTTAAGCCTATTCAGGACTTTCATGTTGCCATATGTAGAAGGTCTTTCAGGGTCCATTGGACCCCAAGAAAGAATATGTGCAACATATTTGTTGGTATTCATTACAGACTTTTAGACTACGTTAAATACATTTTCTGTTAAACTGACATATTTTTGGTTCCAAATGCAAGACAAATACCCCTCTTTTTATTTAAAAAAAAAAAATCTTAAAAAACAAAAAAAAAATACCTGTCACCTAAACCAAATGGCCTGGGGTCCAAAAAAACCCCCAAAGTCCTGAATAGGGTTAATCAAAATTGCTTCATCCTGTAGTTCTCATTTAAATTTAGCTAAAGATTTGCATCAGTCACATTCTGATAAAAAAATACAAAACATTCTGCACTCTTCACTGCAACCGAGAAGCTAAGACGGAGTTCAACAGTCACGTGACCAAAATTCAGGGACCATTCATTCATTCATTCATTTGACCATTTGAACTGCAGGCTGTGTATAAAAGAGCAGAGGAGGAGACACAAATGGAAACAAATTAAAAATATAATGAGTAAAACATCTCTTGTATGTACAGCCATATTTTTTTTCCAGTGCTAAAAAACATCTGTAGGCACTTAGAAAAACATGTACGTGTGATTCCAGTTTTTTTCAATTTATGACATTATAAATGTGTCATACTGCAGAATACATCTCTGAAGTCTCCCTACTTCTATCCATGGTCCTTCTGTTTTCATAGAGGTACAAGATTTTGTATTGCTTGAAAAATTAGGTCATAGTGAGTAAAAATGTGACAGGAGCGGAAAATGTCCCGGAACTTGAGGATCAGACTGTTAAACAGATGGTAAAACTGATTTGTGATCATCACTTCATCGATGAATTAACTGGCGGTTTTAGTTTCTTTTTTGCTCGCACATCTACAGAAATAACTAAACCAACAAGGCATCGCTCTGTCTGAGGTTAGTATTGATCCAATCCAGCAAACGTGTCTGAACTGGTGTGACCGCTGCAGATAGGTCAGCACATGTGTGTGTGTGAGTCTGCTGTTTGTAGTAAAAGCATTCCAGCAGTCAACATATAGACCAGAGCCTGAGGGAAAGGCCCACACACACACACAGACACACAAATCAGACCATCCTGTACATTCAGGTCATTCCTCCTCCTTCAGGTTTGTGGTTGAGACATGCTTTGTACTGTCCCAAAGAGGTCACGTCAAGTCAGAGGATTTGTCTTGTCAAATGTAAACAACTCATCCTGAAGTTGTGCGACTGTCCGAAAAACCGCCGCGGCACATCTTGTGTGTCATCATTCAAAGCCGCTAATTTAAATGCCACTCAGATTCCCGTGAGTCGCAGTTTCTTTCCACTCTGTTACCGCTTTGAAATTGAAAATGGAATCAGTGAGTCTCACAAAAACAGCTGTGTCATTGAATTGAGTAATGTTTCCAAGAGTGTGACATGAGGGGGGAGGCAAAGTGGTAGAAAATGACTTGGTCATGATTTTTTTTACTCCCACAAAAGGAGGAAGACCATGGAAACCCCTGGGCATTGTAGGAGCTGCTGTTGGTTTTGGAAAGAGGCCCCGTATAGGCGTCGTCCTATCATGCCTGCTTTGATCCACATGCATTTGCATGGCAGGGCAAAGAACACAGTTAACAGTTGAGCGGGTTAGAAAAAAAAGGGCCAGCACCAGCGAGGATTGTTGGTTTTTGCTCCCTGCCTAAATCTGCTCTGCCAAGCGAGTTGCTGGTGCAGATGGGCCTGAGTGAGTGGAAGAGGACAGAGAGGGAGAGGCAGGGGGAGGGGAGGCAGATGAGTGCTGCAGAAATGTTAGAGTCATGGGTTCAGTCTTAAAACACACTTTGCTGAAAAATGTAGTAAAACCTCACCTGTTGATTGACCTGATTATACCTCTAATAGACAGTATTTTAAAATATAAGCTGAATTTTTACATTAAATTCAGACAGTAAGATAATAAATGATCAAATGAAGCATAAAAAGTCACACATTACTCCAAAATGCCAGCAGACAAAAGGATGTAGGCTGAAGCTGCAGTTTACTGTGCGTACCGTTTTTACAATATACACCCTGTTTGGCATCAAACGCAAACATAAAGCAAAAAAAAAAACCCTCACAGTCTATGAATGCATAATTGAAGTATAATACTAAGTTTGAAGTCTTCACAGTGTGGACTAGTAATAGGTGAACAGCTAACAGATGAGCTGAGAGAACTGGCGTGTCACACGGCTAATTTAAAAGCAGAGGCAGTGAAAGGGATTATCCAGGGGTCAGAGTTCAATCCAAAGCTTGCAAAACATGCTCAGTGCGTGGCCCTTCATTGTTTCAGATCACAAGCCTTTGTTTCAAACGCACTATTCTCTCAAAAGATCCACAAAGGTGTCATGAACATGAGCAGCACGCTGTGAAAAATCCAGACAAGCAGCGATACCTTCAGCAGGTTGTGATCAGCAGTTACTCTTTTTAGTCTTTACAGACTGTGTGGAGACGAATAACAGCCGAGGTGTCGTATGAGCAACACCTCAGTGTGCAGACATGAAGGTGATATCAGTGTTCGCCACCAATTATCTCTCAGTGAGAAAGCTTATTAGCATATTTCACAAAAAAGTTCAGCAGTTTAATTAATAAGGTGTTGAAGTGTTTCTCTGATTTATTCTGTAGATGTGAGCAGAGTCTTGGAGCTTTTACACAGTTTGATGTCAGCTGAGCAAAAGAAACTAATCAATATCTTAAACATTCCTGAAATATTTGGAAAATGCAGTGTTACAGATAAATCACAAGAATCTGAAAAGGGCAATGCTTGCTTTAAATGTTAAAATATCACGCATCCACTTGCTTATTCATGGCATTGTTGATGTCTCTCAGGAGCCCTTTGTGTTGGGATTTTGCTTTAATAGATAAAAAATAAAGTCAACGTATTGGATGGTGTTTTTCTAAATGCTTAGGAATGTTTCTCTCAATAGTTTGATATGATAATGAAGGTCAGTCAGGCTGTTTGGTTGCTTTGTTTGTGACACTGGCAGCACCTGCAGCCTGTGTTGCTGAGCAGACCTCAGGATGTTTGCAACACAAGCTTTAAATCGCAGTTCATTGTAAAATTACAAATGACACAGAAGAGTCTAGTGTCGTAGAATATTGATAAAAACATGTTTGGCATTTGTGTCAATCAAAACTTCCACGTGATCACATGATGGGAAAGCAGCTCAGATGTTCGCCTCCTTATGAAGAAACCAGCGCCTCCTGAGCTCTGCTGGTTGAGAGCTCAGCTCGGTTATTGATCTTAGTTTGTGGTCTTTAATTTGCCTGACTCGTCTTTTCCATAGCCTACTTCCCCACTTTGCCCCCCACCCTTGGCAGTACTCCAGTGAAGACATGGAAAGTCATTAACAAGTGCCCCCTTTGTTGCCGAACAAACACAGATGGTATTTGGCTCACGCATGGGGGATTAGCTGAACTCTGGGCTGACCAGGGAAGCAGGCAACCACTTTACAAAGAGCTCCAGGCCTGCGTGGGTGTCAGGGAATGTCTTAAACTGCAGGTCAGGAATCGAAGACTGGTTGCAGACATATCTGTGATGACTCCACATTTAGCACGAGAGCCCGACTGTCTCCAGAGTTAGTGCCAAGGTTTGTTCATTTTGGGCTGTGGAAAACTTGAAGCAACCGCGGTGTGAAGTTGTACCATTCCACTGGACAAGGCAGCGACACACACATCTCCTCCGGCCCCCCTGGTGCCGTGGGGGCGTGCAGGACAGCAGGGAGGGGGCAGGACGGAGAACAAACCCCCGTTTGTTCTCCAGGCGGGGCGCTGACTGCAGCACTGACAAGAGGAGTGACCTTCCGCTTTGTTTGAACAAGAGGTCAAAGGTAGAGCCATGCCCCAGTGCATTGTGTGCCTTGTAGTGTTTGGTGGCACATTTGGAACATTGAAGTGAATTGAGTAGAAAACAAAAAAAAACAAAAACATCAAAATACTTTGAGCTGCATGTTTCAAAGCAGAATTTCAAGGACTTGTTTAGCCACTTGTGGTTTCAGGACTTATTCTACAGTGTTTGTGGGGATAAAGATTGTATGTATAGTGCAGAGATGGGCTGGTGCAGAGCCAAACCTCAACAGTTTAAATGTGAGAGAAAAGACAGCATGCGCTTGTTGTCAGCTTGGCTGTGAAAGAAAGCGAAGCACCTGCAGAGGAAGCACACCTGTTCACCCCTGAGCCCCTGACCTTGTGTGTGTGTATATGTGTGCGTGTGTCACTGAACGTGTGTGTGTTTATGTGTGTGTGAGTGAATCAGGCACCAACAGG